CCAATATATATTTGCTAATAATATTTTCTAGCATTTTAAGGTGAGTAGTTTTACTGGAAGTAGTATGTGAAAGTGCTAAAGGTTTAGGATTAAAGATTGCTGGAGATGGAAAGCATTCTAATATGAATTTTCCTCCATGACTTCCTTGCACTAATTGATTGAAACACTCTTTATAACTGGTTTCATCAGGGCAAATTACATTAATAATATTATTACAGTATCGATTAACTCTAATGATTACAGAGTCACCGAGTAGGTCTGTAATTTGTTCAACAAATTCGTTAGTAACATCTTTGTAGCAAATTACATTAATTATTTGATTAAGATTGTAATTAGATTTACGTTTGTTAGGTCTAGTATTAGTTGCCATATTTCTTTTCATCTCAAATTGATATAGCCATTAGAGGAGCAATTAGAAGAAAACTATATATGGACAGGAAAACACCAACCAGCTTATTCCACTTACCATTAGAAAAAGGTGGATTAGGACTACCATCTATTGTAGAATTTTCTGAAAGAATGAACCTAAGAACCATGACCTTAATTGCTAACAGTAACAATTTACTCGTCAAGAAAGCTTTCAAACATGGTATCAAGCACTGTGAGGAAACGAAAGACAATATTTATTCGAAATGGCTACTAGTACTAAAAGAATACAACCTCACACTTAAGAAAAATGAAATGAAATTCAAGTTGAAAAAAATCAAAACAGGAAATAATTTTGATATTCACACTGACGGATCAAGACTCGAATCAAAGACTGGAATGGGGATTAATATCTATGATTGCTCCAATATGAACACTCCAGTTAGATCTTTATCCCTCCATATTAATGATCAATATTCAAATAATGTAGCTGAAATATGCTCTATTATTACAGCAGCTAAAGTTATCCCAAGAGACTCCAAGATTAAAATCCATACTGATAGTAATGTGGCAATTGAAGTTCTCAAAGAACGATATAAGGGAAACTTTCTACCACTAAAAAAAGCCTTCTTTAAAACCATTAAGGATAGAAAACTTGAATATGAATTCAAGAAAGTTGAAGCTCATAAGGATAAGGAAAATATCAAAGTTGATTTATTGGCAAAGAATGCAACTCTGAAACCTAAAATCTTTGATATCCGTAAACTACTCTTTAATCAATATATCCTCACAAAGAACGATATTATAATCTTTGACTATAAGAGGTTAACTACCTCACAACATTTAAGGCTAATGCTTGACAAGATAGAGAGTCACCCCAATCACATACCTAACCTAGATTGGAACTCTATCAACGTCAGCTACCTTAAATCCCATTTGTCTCCTAAATCTAAATATTATATTTGGAGAAACTCTTCAAATGCCCACATCAATTTTGGTGAGGGTAAAAGTTTCTGTCATGATTGTAACACAGAATCTGACCTTAATCACTATATTCATGAATGCCCTGCTCTGGATAGTGCCAGATACTTTTGCTTGTCAAAAATATCTGATATTCTTGATCAGAGAGAGTGTAAACTCACTCATATTCAATTCAGACCAGAAAAGCATCACCATGTACTCTTCTTCCACCATTCTGGAACCACATTCTTCGAAGATGGATACGTACAACAATACCCAGACATTGCAGAGAAATGGCCTGAGATCCAGGGAGCCATTTCTAACTTTGTCGGCCGCTCCTATAGATATTATTATATTGACTCAATGTAAATTTACAAATTCAAAGAGAATCTGAATAGATTCGTTATTATTGCAATAAAAGATTTTTTTGAGTTTGGACAAAGATACTCATTGGAAGGTCAATATTCGAAACTCATCGACAGTATACAGAAATTCAAAACGGAATAATTCAAATTGTTGACCATCTCATTACCATTATTTAAAAAAATGTCTCGTGTACCACAAGAAGAAACACTTGTGAACACAAGCAGGAAGGCTACAAATTTTCTCTTCCTTACAGATTACTTGATTGGAGGAGCTTCTCGAGCCATCGGAAGAACATTAACAGCACCAATTGATCGATTCATGATTCTCCTTCATCACCCAGAAAAACCCAAGTTTCCGCAAGCTTGTTTCTTGTTTTGGAGAGGAAATTTACTCAACATGATCAAATCGTTCTTTCCAAATACTGTGGTTTTTAATTTTGCCATCAAGGATTTGATAAAGAGGCAGAATTATTTACCATTTCAAACAGTTGATCAGAGAGGATATGGATTTGTGGTGAATCAGTTTGTGAGTGGTGGTTTGGCAGGTGCTTGTTGTGAATTTGTGAGATTCCCTTTTGATAATATTATGAAATTTAGGGTGGGTCAATTGGGTAGTGGAATGGAAAAGTATTTCGGGTTGTTTAAAGGGGCTGGTATTTCAGTAATGAGCGCAATGGTTTATCGTTCGTTATATTTTGGATTAAATGATTCATTGAGAGAAGTGAATACTTACAGGAATGATTTGGGAGTGAAAGGAGTCATATCTAAATATGGGATAGCTCAATTAGCATCAGCAAGTGCTTGGATTATGAACAGTCCAATTAGCACCATACAAAGAAGAATGATCATGCAACAACAATATTCCCCCAATCAATGGCATTATAATTCCTCAATAGATTGTTT